ATTTTCTTTGTCTTCATATTTTTTTAAAACTTTTGCTTTCAACTGAGACAAAAACAATTTTAAGAGTAAGCATTTCTTGCAATTTGGTTGTATATTATAAAGGAAATAGAACAGAAACGTAAGCTAGAATACTTGATCGTTTATTCAAAAGACTGCTACAGCTTTTATAAAGCCTTACAATTTAAGTGTAACTGAAATAGAGAAAAATAAGGAAAACAAAATATAACAAACTGGAATAAATCAACTCCTAAAAACTAGCTTATTAAGACCTATTCTCTAGCTTTAACGGTAAACCCAACAAATTCCTCCCCTTAAACTGACACATGCTTAACGAGCATCAGTTTACTCCTCAGGTCGTTGAACACCAAGCAAACCTCTAAGTTTCACAAACTGATCCAACTTAATAGGTTTAGTCATGATGTCTGCCACTTGATCATCAGTTCCACAAAATGCTAACTTCACAGCTCCTTCACTTGATAAATTGCATAGATAATGATATCTAACATCAATGTGTTTTGTCCTTCGATGCATCACTGGATTCTTGGATAGTTTAATTGCCGAACTGTTATCACACATTATGTGAATGCAATTACAGTCTTTGAAGCTTAACTCTTTCAAAATTCCTTTCAGCCAGACGCAATGACATGCGCAGGCAGTGGCAGCTACATACTCAGCCTCTGTAGATGAGAGAGTCACTATCCCTTGTTTTCTTGAACTCCAACAGATTGCTGCTCCATTTAGTAGAAATACATATCCCGAAGTACTTTTTCTATCGTCCACATCTCGTGCGTAGTCGCTGTCTGTGTATCCCAGCAGATTCGCATTTGTGCTTTTCTTGTAAAAAATTCCCAGTTCCAGTGTTCCTTTCAAGTACCTCAGTACTCGCTTTGCAATCGACATGTGTTCTTCTTTAGGTTCAGCCATATAACGAGAGATTAAGCATACCACAAACATTAAATCCGGACGCGTTACCGTTAGATACATTAAGCACCCTACTAGTTGTTTGTACAATATTGCATCAACACCGTTGCTGCCTTCCTTTGACAGAACAGTACCAGGAACAATTGGATTCTTGACAGCATTACAACTCCACATATGGAACCTTTGCAAGACTTCCTTAGCATACTTCTTTTGGCACAAGTGAATTCCATCTTTACGCTGATAGATTTCAACTCCAAGAAAAAACTTCATTTTGCCCAAGTCTGTCATCTCGAACTCCTTCTGCATTGACAACTTGAACTCTATGCACATATGCTCATCATTTCCGGTATATATTAAATCGTCAACGTAAAGACTTACCGCCAATAGCTTGTTTCCATTTTTCTTCAAGAACAAGGTGTGATCATAGTTGCTTTTCTGAAACCCTTCCTTCTTAAAGTGACTCTCGATTCTGCTGAACCAAGCTCTTGGGGCTTGCTTTAAGCCATAGAGCGCCTTCTTTAGCCGATACACCTTATCTTCCTCTCCCTTTTTGATAAACCCTTCCGGTTGATCGATGTATACCTCCTCCTTTAATTCTCCGTACAAAAAAGCACTTTTAACGTCAAGTTGGTAGACACACCAACCACGCTGAGCTGCTACTGCCAGGAGAATTCTGATGGTATCCCAACGAGCCACCGGTGCATACACTTCATTGTAGTCTACTCCTGCTGTTTGTGAATACCCTTTGGCAACTAGTCTAGCTTTGCATTTGTCCACCTTACCTTCTTCATTCAATTTTGTTTTGTATACCCATTTAACACCAATTTTTTTTGCTTGATGTGGCAGTGACACAAGCTCCCAAGTCTGGTTTCTCTCTATAGCTTGAATTTCAAGCTTCATGGCCTCCTGCCATATGGTTTGAACACCCAGAGTCGAGAAACCAAATACCTTTTCCTTCAGATTTACTGACTTCTGTGTGTGCCATTAAGAGGAGTTCTTCTTCCTCGTCGAACTCGGTATAATTGACTCCTTTTTCCAGACTTGAGCATTCAAATTGATAATGTCCTTGCTTTCCACATCGAAAGCAATTAATGGCTGACCTGTTAACGAAAGATCTACCTCTTCCTCGTCCTCTAAAGTTGCCGCCTCTGAAGTTACCGCTTCTAGAGTTGCCATTTCCTCTCTGATATATGCCTCTGCCTCTTCCTTGTACATTCCTTTGCTCGTTCTCCACCTGTAGAACTTATTCTTCACTTATTTTCTCAATCACCTTTTGTTCATGTACAAGCAGAGATGCTTGCAATTCATCTACTGTCATATCATCAATGTCTTTGGACTCTTCGATGGAGCATACCACAAAGTTGAAGTTGTCCGTAAGACTTCGAAGTATTTTTTCAACAATTTTAACATCATTCATGTTTTCTCCACAGTTCCTCATTTCATTGGCAGTAGACATGACTCTTGCGAAGTACTCAGAAACACCTTCTCCCAATTTCATTTCTAGGGTTTCAAATGTTCTGCGAAGCCGTTGTAGCTGTGCACGCTTCACTCTAGCACCTCCCTGATACTTGACTTTCATTGAATCCCACAACTGTTTGGCTGTTTCCTTCTGGGTGATGGTTTTCAAGATGCTCTTGTCTATGGACTGAAAAAGATAGTTCTTTGCTTTGAGATCTTTGAGTTTTGCTTCGTCGAGTGCCTTCGCGCTTATGCCTTCGGTCCCCTTCAACTCTTCGAGCCCTGGTTCAATGACGCTCCAGTACTCCTTGGAGCGGAGGAGATTTTCCATAAGTAAGCTCCAGTGATCATAGTCACCATCGAACTTCGGAACGCATGGTGTTGAGAAACTTTCTGCTGCCATTTTTCCTTTCTTCTGTGTTTTTCCTCTCAAACACTATTGCAGACTTTCCCTACTTCCTCTCAGTGTTTTTCCTCTCAAACACTCAATTTGTATATTACTATTATCAGGCCCTTTCGAGCTCTGATGCCAGATAAAGGAAATAGAACAGAAACGTAAGCTAGAATACTTGATCGTTTATTCAAAAGACTGCTACAGCTTTTATAAAGCCTTACAATTTAAGTGTAACTGAAAGGAAGTTTTACCTCATACCCCTACACTTGTACCTATACCCCTACATTAAAAAATTTTGGACCAAAATATCCTCGTATAAAAATTTATTATTTTTTAATTTTTTTATATTTTTTTATTTGTTTACCGGAAGACTTTTTGGAAGTCTTCCGGTTCATATTTTTTCGTTTGTTTACCGGAAGACTTTTTGGAAGTCTTCCGGTTCATTTTTTTTTTTAATTTGTAATTAATATTTAAGATTTATTAACTTTATATAAAGACCAATTTAGTGAATTTTTGAATATTATACTTAAAATATAAAAATTCTATAAATAGAGAATTATTTTCAAAATATTTTCTATTTGCTATAATTATTAGAATACAATGAGATTAAAATCATTTATTTTAAATGATCATAATAGTAAAATTTTCTCAAATATCTTATTAATCTTAAACATTAATAAATAAAATAAATTTAAATATAGGATATAAGTTTACATTATTCAATATATTTAATCAAATGAAAACATATGTGATAAATAAATAATGTATTTTAACTTAAAATGATCACAATAAGTTAACTTGCAAAATAATATAAGTAATAAATTAATAATGTATTTTATTTAAAATAATCACAATAATAAAATACGCAAATAATGTGTTTTATTTATAGGACTGATATAGTTTTATTGATTATTTAATTTTAAATACTACTATGAATATAGTATTTAATCTATACTTTAGAACTCACATAATTATAAATATATAAAATATTGTTTTATTACCCATATTTTTATTTAATTAAAAAAAATAAGAATATAAATTTATTATTTGTTTTTCATTTTCGTTTGATCTTTTTTTTATTTATAAATTTTTTGCATATTCTATACTGTGCTTACTTTAAATAAAATATATTATTTATTTTATTAAAAATATTAAATAAAGTGAAATAATTAAAAAGATCAAACAAAAATGAAAAACAAATAATAAATTTATATTCTTATTTTTTTTAATTAAATAAAAATATGGGTAATAAAACAATATTTTTTTATATTTATAATTATGTGAGTTCTAAAGTATAGATTAAATACTATATTCATAGTAGTATTCAAAATTAAATAATCAATAAAACTATATCAGTCTTATAAATAAAACACATTATTTGCGTATTTTATTATTGTGATTATTTTAAATAAAATACATTATTAATTTATTACTTATATTATTTTGCAAGTTAACTTATTGTAATCATTTTAAGTTAAAATACATTATTTATTTATCACATATGTTTTCATTTGATTAAATATATTGAATAATGTAAACTTATATCTTATATTTAAATTTATTTTATTTATTAATGTTTAAGATTAATAAGATATTTGAGAAAATTCTACTATTATGATCATTTAAAATAAATGATTTTAATCTTAGTATTCTAATAATTATAGTAAATAGAAAATATTCTGAAAATGATTCTCTATTTATAGAATTTTTATATTTTAAGTATAATATTCAAAAATTTATTAAATTGGTCTTTATATAAAATTAATAAATCTTAAATATTAATTACAAATTAAAAAAAAAACATGAACCGGAAGACTTCCAAAAAGTCTTCCGGTAAACAAACGAAAAAAAATATGTACCGGAAGACTTCCAAAAAGTCTTCCGATAAACATACTAAAAAAATGTGAACCGGAAGACTTCCAAAAAGTCTTCCGGTAAACAAATAAAAAAATATAAAAAAAAATTAAAAAATAATAAATTTTTATACGAGGATATTTTGGTCCAAAATTTTTTAATGTAGGGGTATAAGTATAAGTGTAGGGGTATGGGGTAAAACTTCCTAACTGAAATAGAGAAAAATAAGGAAAACAAAATATAACAAACTGGAATAAATCAACTCCTAAAAACTAGCTTATTAAGACCTATTCTCTAGCTTTAACGGTAAACCCAACATATTATTTGCAACCTTTGGCTCGGTTCATAGTTTAACAACCCACAACTAATACTGATGGCAGCGGCGTCGCGGGTGGTATCGAGGTTGTGCGTGGTTCCGCTGCTGGTACTCTCAAACGGCGTCGTTACATCCTCATCTTCTAGTTGTAACACCGAAATTCCAACCTTGAGTACCAAATGTTTGAGGTTTTGTTCTTCATCTTCTTCCGAAAAAACATCACTATGGTGGAACAAATCATCGAACAAATTGCCCCACATTGTAAAAGCCGGAGAACCAGTTCTGCACGAGCCTGCACGCCAGGTTGATCCAAATGAGATTAATTCAGACAAGATTCAGAATATAATCGATGACATGATTCATGTCATGAGAAAAGCCCCTGGAGTTGGTCTTGCTGCCCCAGAAATTGGTATCCCCTTAAGGGTATGAATCAATACACCTTTCAGAAGTTGTGAATATATTTTATTGTTGTTGTGGTTGAAGCATTAACACAAACACCTTACATGCTACAATGTAAGTGTCATGTCGGACACCAGACACACCTTTTAACGTGAAGTGACATGTTTTTTCTTGTTTTCTTTTATGTATGCAGATAATTGTTTTGGAAGTTAGAAAAGAATATATTAGTTACAAGACAGAGGAGGAGAACAAATCACAAGATAGAAGGCCTTTTGATCTTTTGGTATGTTGAATGTTTTTATAGTTTTGTTTTGTACATGAAATTTTTGTTACTTGAATAATTCACATTCATTTAGTAGTTCTCTTGAATGAGGCAGGTGATTCTGAATCCCAAGCTAAAGAAGAAGAGCAACAAGACTGCCTTCTTTTTTGAAGGCTGCTTGAGGTGTGTCAACTTTTATATTTTCTATTGCATTATTTACAATTTTAAAGCTGACAAGCCATTTGTTCGTGCTTATATTTTGGAACTTTGCATATCTTAGTCTATGTTGTGAATATTGGCGCACTATAGTGGCACTATAGCGGACTAACTAAGCGGTGGTAGGGTTCGGCACGGCGCTTTTGGTCCGTGAGCTGCCATCAACAATAGCAGACGCCGCTATTACGACCTTAAACCGCTAACCTTATATTCAAACCCTTAACGTTTTTTTAGGGTATAAATACCAATTTGGACCCTTTTATGTGTAAAATTATGCTCATCATTTTGTTATGTTCTTTCTACTTTTAGTTCCATTTATTATATTTTTTTCTTTGTTTAAGTTTTACTATTTTGTACTTTAGGTTCTTTACTTATTAAGTATGAGGGTCTCTATAATTGTGTATTTTCCTATTTTTGAATATTAATGCTTACTTTGCACGCTGATTTTTAGTATTTGCAATAGAGGCTATTCCGCTACGGCGCTATAGCATTTTAGGGAGTTGGTGTTACGTGACACTATCTGGAATTAACAAAATTGATCTTAACTGAATTTCTAAAATGCCTGTCTAAATTCTTGACTGTTGCTCTTTCTTTAGTGATCGCTTGAAATTTCTTGAGATCAGGTTCCTATCCTTGTTTTTATAAATTATTTTAGTAGAGCATAATAAGAAATTTTTTGTAGAGTCCATTTTGAAGCAACTATTACCAAATCATCAAATGATTTATTTTAACATGTTTATGCATGTGTATGTGATTCTATATGATCAAATGCTACAGAATTGATATGATTTAAGTTATTGTTTTTCCTAAAGACTATAAAGTAGCAAAGTCCTTATTTTCTTTCACTGACAAGGATTTCTCAACTGCTGATACATCTCAGTTGGCATCCATGTAACCAATGCAAAGCATAAGTGCTGATATTTATTTCAAAACATGGTTGCTTGAATTTGCATGATTTTTGCTTAACATTGGGTCACTAGAGTATAATCAGGTGGACTGTGCTTAAGTTCAATTTACTCAACCTATGTCTTAGTTTTATAATTCTGTTTTGTAGAGTTGAGTTAGACCTAATTCAAATTCTAAAAAGTACAGTGTACTGACATGAGTTCAGTTCTCCGTAGGGGGCATGCATCATGTGTAACAAAACAATTGAATCTCTTATTATCATTATCTAGTCCTCTTATTGTAAATATGCTACGTTTGTGTGAGATTTTCCTCCAGCTTGATTGGGTTTAATTGAATCTGTTGGAATTATTATCAGTGTATGTAATATCCATTTTAGCATTGTCATGATTTAAAAAAAAAAAGTTGATTCTGCCTTACTCCATAATTTTGTGGTTTATATGGTAATAATGTGTGGATAACTACTTATATACAAGTTCCGTTAACATCATCGGTAAAACCATTTTGCAGTGTTGGTCTGCATCAAGCTTTGGTAGAGCGGTATCTTGATGTTGAGGTTGAAGGTTTTGATCGTTATGGCGAGCCAATCAAAATAAAGGCTTCAGGATGGAAGGCTAGGATTTTACAGCATGAGTGTGATCACTTGGATGGTACGCTATATGTTGATAAGATGGTACCAAAAACTTTCAGAAACTGGAAAAACATGGATCAGCCTCTTGCCCCTGGGTGCCCCAAACTTGGCCCCCGAGCTTAAAACTGGAGCTGATCTGATTCAAAACAAGTTGCAGGCCAGAACTGATCCTTTAAGTTAGAAATAGTGTCAGTTTAGGAATTAGTAATTTTTCTCAAAGTTTTAGTATTTATTGTTTGTAATCTGCTATACTTTCTGATCAATTCATTAAATATAAGTTTCAATAACAGGGTAAACCTGATTCTGGTCGGTATACCATAGAAATGAAATCGCGCTGCCTATATATAAATGGAAAATGCGTTCAATCTAAAATTTCCCTACTATTTTCTTCATAAAACAAAATGTTGAGAAACAATGCTTAATGTTGTAGCGACTAGTCAAGCAACTAAGCACTCAGAATTGAAACCTAAAAGAAATTGGATAATTGGGATGGCAAAAGAATTCATATCAGCGGATATGGGGCGGATAGTTTAATAGATATTCACTGATAAAATAAATGGATATTTAAATATCCATTTGTTAATGGATATTAATATGGGTTTAATGATATCCGTACCCGCGGATATTCGTATCCGTTAATAAATTATAAAAATCATTTAAATATCATTAGTTTATTATACCTTATTTTTTCATCTTCTAAAAAAATTAGTCTTCTTATATTTCTTTTTTTATTTTATTTTAAATTTTCTTTAAAGAAAACATTTCACATTTCATTCAAATTCTATTAAAAATTTCATATTTAAACTCTTTAATACTTCATACCTCACTTCAACAATTTCATAGTTCAACCAACGTGTCATCATTCCTCTATTGAACCAGTGTCTCTCTTTCTACTCTTCTGTCGTTCGCTCTTTCTGAAATTCTGGTATCAGATATGAGATGTCGAAGGCGATGTCACGACACTAATATCTGAACTATCACCAATATATAAACAAAGACAAACGGTTAACAATAGTAAAAAGACACAATCAATTGTTAACCTAGTTCGGTGCAAACACACATACGTCTGGGGGCTACCAAACCAAGAAGGAAATTCACTAAGTAGAATTAGTTTGAAGATACACAGTAGACTCTCTCTAGTTTACTATCTTCGCACCTAATCTCTACCCTTGCAATTTCTACCTAGAACACACCTAGATAAGAGATACCTCTCACTCCCCCTCAATCACAGTAGTGATAACAACAGATGAATAAACTTTAGAAGACACTCTTCAAAGACAATACTTGATCTTGCTTAAAAGATTCAATCAAGAACAATACACTCTTACTTACAAGCTTTGAGTGAACAACTTACAACACAAAAACTTAGTTCAATTCACAAATTAAAGTGATGAGTGAATGACTCACAAACTAACACAAACACACGAAGCTAAAAGCTTTAATCCTTACGCAATGCACTATCTTAACCCTAGCTTCTCTGATCTTCAAAATAGGATTGTGAAGACTTTAAATAGTAACTCTTGGACCGACATGGGCTTTAGCAAAAACAACATCTGATCTTGATAGAATCAATTCAAATAATTCTTTAATTTTTTTCATAATTAGTATCAAGGAGTAGAACCAAAACAGATTTGATTTGACCCAATCAACTCAAATCAAATCACTCTTTAGATCTTCAAGATTTCCTTCAGAAAATAGCACAAACGATTCCATAAATACTCCACGAATTATGCATCAACAATTCTTTTGAATATAGAATATTTCCACGCAGATTTGAACCATTAATGACTGATCACAACAGCGCAAAGAGTTGCACAAAAAGTAACAGATTGTTGGCTGAAAGTTAGCCAACTAAGGGCATTGACCTCGACAAGAGGTGAGAAAAGAAAGAGTGAAGGTCGACCGGCCCCTTGCATGAAGGCCAGAGGCCGACAAGAATAAAACTTGGCAAGCACCACACCTTGACTCGACAACGTGAGATGAATGAGTCGACGGGTCCTGTGTCGATCAACCAAAGCTGAAAGCCAACAAGGGTATTCTCGACGAAAGAAGATAAAAGCTTGGCGGGAAACCAGTTTGAAAGGAGAAACGTGGAGGTAGTTGTCCACAACGTGGGATGACACATGGCGCATCCTGAAGCACCTTGGCAGTTACCTCGTACGCCTATATAAAGCAAGATTTTCTAGGAAAGAGAGGCGTGTTTGGTCAGTATTGGAAGAAAAACACTCTGAGTACCGCACTATAGAGAAAAGAGTTTACTTTGTCATTCCAAAATGTACGAATACGTCCAAACATCTTCTTCCTTGTACTTTCATATTTTACTTTAATTTTTACTTTAAGTTTGCTAAATATTTTAGGCATTCAAAGCATTATTGTCAGAATATCTACAAAGTCTCTGTTTCAGCCATTTCCTTATCTTTGTCAATTCTTAGTTATTTAGAATGTAGACCACAAAATATATAACCATCAAAGTGCACCATAATCTAAGCAAACGATTCACCTCAAACCACAGACGTCTTGGGACTAGTTTGGCCAGTCCCGCAAGCAAATATGTATAGGAAGGCCAGAGGTTGTCCGCGCGAAAAATCACGTGCGAACAAATTAGCACACCTGGTGGGACCCGCTAGTGTAGGTATATGCAGTTACGTAGCGGAAAGATGGTGACACCGCGACCAAACGAAGAAACGTCTTTGCAAGGGAACACATTGTCCTCGCCAGGGGTGGTTCTGGACACTAGACCCATGGCAACCGTCACTTCGACCGTTGGCACCGCGCCATTCACGACGCCAAGTCAACCAGAAGTACGGCTCGATACGACTAGAATCGATGGTCAACGCTTACCTAGTTTCAACACTACGACACCCCAACACTTGGGGATGCCACCTGAATTTATGTTGAGCTGGCGTTACGGGGGGATAGGCGTGGGAGAGAATTCGACCTCCTCTTTTTCACCATACTGAAGCCTGGGCCCCGTGACCCAGCAAGGAGGACGGCCCCTAGGTTTTGGGTCACTTCCCACGACGATACAAACTTTCACCACTAGCTCTGTCGCGGTCATGCGACAACAAATGGACGAAAGCAATCACGAGCTGGCGCACATGTTAACCGAACAAATGGGCACCATCCTGAGGCCTTTAATACAAGATTCGACCCAAAGTTACCAACAATTGGCAACCCAGATGACCTGAATAGGAGACTTTTTAAGGGCATCTAGGAACGTAGGGGGACAAACTCCTCCAAATCGCCCCGAGACGCCGGTTCGACAAAACGAGTCTGTCGAAGAAAGAAAGGAGCCACAGGCGCCTGAGTATGAACATATCCCTAGGATAGCCCAAAGGCCCCCCATAGTAATGGTCCGCAGGGACCAAGACCCCGACCACGTAGTCCGACAAGTTAGAAACAAGAACCTCGGGGGCGAAGCTAATATGGAGGCCATGGTCGAACACATCATGGTTCGAAATGGTGCAAACCCTAGCCTGCGACGGCTCACCTACATGTCCCTATTGCCGGATTTTGTGTTGCAAACGGAATTACCAAGGAGCTGGAAAGTCCCAAAATTCACTAAGTTTGCGGGTGAAACAGAGGAATCCACTGTCGAACATGTGGCCCAATATCATACCGAGGCTGGGGACATAACGAATAACGAGGATTTGAAAATGAAATATTTCCCGGGTTCACTCACAAAAAATGCATTCACATGGTTCACTTCACTGCCCCCTCAGTCGGTCCACACATGGACACAGCTGGAAAGATTGTTCCACAAATAATTTTATATGGGACAATCAAAGATTATTTTGAAAGAATTAGCTAGCGTAAAACAGAAAGCCGCGGATTCCGTAGACCAGTATTTGAACAGGTTCAGACTGCTGAAGGTGCGATGCTTTACGCAAGTCCCTGAACACGAATTGGTCAAAATGGCTGCGGGAGGACTAGATTACTCCATCCGGAAAAAGCTAGATACATAATACTTAAGAGATATGGCACAACTGGCTGATCGCGTTTGACAGGTCGGACGATTGAAGAGTGAGAAAGCGCAGACTAGTCGATACCGTAAGAAAGAAAAGGTGGCATTTGTAACCACCGACGAATATTCATCGGACGAAGAGGAATTCGTCGAAGAGAACACCACCAATGTAGCCGAACTAACAGCTGGACCTCCATATATGTGTAGGGTCCTGAAGCCGTCGAACGAAAAAAATCTAGTCGAGACAGAGAAGACGGACAAATATATTGTGAAAACATACTCTTTCGATGTATCCAAGTGTGATGAGATATTTGACGTATTAGTAAAATATGGTCATATTATCGTCCCAGTTGGGACAAAAGATCCCTCTCTAGAACAAAAGAAAAAGAAGGGATTTTGTAAATTTCATAACTTCCTTGGTCATAAAACTGCTCAATGTGTTCTTTTCAGGGATTTGGTGCAGAAGGCGTTGAAGGAAAGAAGGTTGCAGTTCGGGGAACGGCCAAAGATGCAAGTGGATACGAACCCTCTAAAAGCAGAGGAAGCACTGTATTCTAAAGTGGCAGAATGCAGGATGGTCGAGTCTACTTATGGCCTCAAGGAACGAGTAGCAACCCCCATTCTAGACTGCATGATGATTGAAGCTATTGAGGGCTTCGACAGAAAGACAAAGATGGACTTCGAGGGATTCTATCCTGAGGCTGGAGAGAGTCTGGCAGAATTTCAGGAAAAGTGTAAAGTCAGCGGCTCCACAGCCGCCCTCTGTCCCAGGTGTCATGTTGTGTTTGACCAGAAAGCGGCGGACCGGGTCAAAGAAGATAAAAAAATCAGCCCCCAGGTTCGTATTCGACAAAGACGGCACCCCTCGACGAAATTTGGAGTACCAGAAGTTGTTCCAGTTGGCAAAGCCCAGGACTTTTGTGCCCCCGTCGGATATCCCGCAAGACAAATGGATGGCCCCTGTGACCCAAAAAGGGAGCAAAAGGCCAAAGTGGAAGGTGTTGGATTTGGAAAAAGAGGCTGGGACCTTTGTCAAGAACACTGAATCAAAAGGGTATGTGGTGTCTCCCAATTACAAGGGCAAGAACCCAATGACAAGAATCAAGTGGAGGCGACATCAGCGAAATAAGAACGCGGCCAGAGAAGCATCGACCCTGCA